CATCTGACCCCCTCGTGCAAGTCGTGCAGGTGTGGGAGAGTCCGATTTCGCTTTTTAAACCCAGAATGTGGGGTCAGTGGGGGGGTGATCTGTAAACTGTAAAAACAATGTTTTTTGAGTATGTTTTCCCACAATCCAGCTCACCTCTGGATTTGTGGTTAAAAGTGCCCTGATGCAAATTCTGAACGTGTTCATAAATGTCATTTTCCTGATCTGGGGGCAGAAGCAGAAGCTAGATTTCCGCTTTAGGATTCGGTTTTCGGTTCACCGCAGAGCAGATGTGCTTCAGAAAGAAAAGGACCGGTATCCCGGCCCGTTGAGCCTTCTGTCTCTCTCCCTGTCCGGGACCCAGAAACACAGGGTCCAGGTCCCCAGTATATGAACCCCTCACACCCCCCCTCCCCCAAAATCACCCTCCTTCTCCCCCATCTTCAGCCCGGTCTGGAACGAGAAGTGAACCCAACAGACTGTCTGTTGTCCGAGCGGGGAAAAAAAAGAAAACATCACTGTTCTTGTTACAGGATATTCATATATTCCTTTTGGGGGGGGAAAAAAATGCAGATTTCCTTCTTGTTCCTCCTCTCGCCCTTCAACACCCACCTATTGTGAGGGAAAAGGAATTAGATTCCCCAAAACAAAAGATTTTATAAGTCATTCTACAGTGATTAGAGCACATAAACCGTCTGATTTCCCTTTTCCTTCTTAGTAATTTTTAATTTCCAGGACTTGTCTTTCAGCTTTTTTTATATTAAGATGCAACTGAATTGTGCTATATCAATTAAATGTATTATTATTATTTTACACGGTGGCAGGAAGTCTCACCTTCATGAGGGAAGTGTCTGTCCTGAACTGGGACTTCATTCAGGCAAAAGCTGATCTCTTGCACTTAAATGTTAACGTGCGAGGACAAAGTCAAACTGTTTCTTGCTGTTAATGCCTGTTAAAGAACTTGCACGCTGTGCACGTCTTACTTTGATTTTCATGCACTTTAACGTACCGGAACGAACAGCGTTGAGATTGAGAAACGCGTTCACAAAATGACGAATGGATAGCCAAGTGCATATCATTTTTAAATATATCGTCTTGAAATCGCCAGCGCTGGGCTAGGAGCCTCTGGTGTCACCAACAGCTAACACCTCGAGTCCCGGACTTGGGACGCCCCAAGTACCTGTAACCCTGCGAGCGCTGTATCGCCGCCCCAGACGACATCAAGGGACACACACAGCACATTACACACATACCAGAAAAAGCAGCAGTATATCAGGGTTAACAACCATCTGTCCCTGATCAAGGCTAAAAAAAAAAAAAGAACTTTTTTTTCCCTCAAAATTACACCTTGATGACAGATGTAATTTCTATCCCTGGTGGCTTAGGAACATTCTGGGGGTCACAGTTGAAAGGTTAAAAGGTTAGGGGTGGGAGGGGGCCACTCAAAGGAGGAAATCTGCTATCCCACCCTCGCCTTTGACCCAGTGTCCGTGAAATAACTCAAATCCGACAGTAACTCGCTAACATCAGGCTGCCCTCTTGTGAAATGACGACGGATGTTTAATCTTTTTTTTTTTAAAAAAAAAAGCTAGAGAAAAGGATCATTTGTCAAATGGGGGTGGGGGAGTTGTTTTTTTTTTTTTACTATCCGAGAACAATCTTACACAGCTTTCTTTTTGTAATTTTTTTTTTCATGCTAAAATCATGCGGCCAATTTGTTGATGTAAGTGACCTGAACTCCGTGGTTTGCTATCTTATTTAAACAAACAAACAAAAAAAACAGGGAAAAAAAAATTAAAATGAATAGTTCAGAATAGACATTAGGGATAGCGAGAGAGAGAGAGGAGAGAGAGAGATAAAATGTTTTAGCTGTTGAACTGTTGTCTAGTTTGTTCTTTCAAGAATAGTTACCAGTACAGCCATACCATACTGCAGTTACTGTTACCTCTAGGTGTTGAGGAGTGAATCTAGTTTCTAGTCTGAATGAGCTAATTGTCCATACTTAACCTAGACTTCTCTATAATGTTAGAGATATAGAGCAGGTTCAGCACAGTCAGCGTATACAACTCTATATAAATAGAATTTTAGCCACTAACTAAAAATAAAAAAAATCTAACTGTAGAAATAACTAAATGCTAAGTTTTAGTGCTGTTCTGACTGAGGATATTCTTGTGGTGTTGTTGGTTTTCTTTTTTTTTTTGCTGGTTTCTGTCCCAAGGGGACGTGCTCCGTGCTGCACTGACGCCATCTCCCCTTCCCTCTCCCCCCCCCTCCTTCTCTCTCTCTCTAATCCTAGGAGGTGAATTAGTCCTGCCCATAATTACCGTGGACTCCCTAGACCCCCCCTCCATTGCCACCCGCTACCCCGTCATCCCCCCGCCCCCCACGTACCGCCCGTTCCTCACCCTGCTCGAGACCACCAAAGAGTCCCTGACCCTGCCCAACGTGCGGCCCCCCTGCCCCCCGGACCAGGAGGACTGCGAAGACCCCATCGACGTCTCGGCCTACGGCTCGGGGGAGATGACGGAGTCGGACGACGAGGATTATTACAAAAACTCCCCGCTGGTCACGGACAGGACGGTCCTGCCCCCGCCGCCCGCCGCCAGCGGGGGCGCCGAGGGCGCCCAGCACCCCCGGGGCGACCGCCACTTCCTCCCCAAGCCCAACTCCCGCTCCCCTTCGTCTTCGTCGTCCGCCTCCTCCTCCTCTTCCTCCTCGTCCCCCACCCCCAACCCCGACCAGCTCCACCGGCAGCACAAGCCCAGCGGGCACATCCCCGCCGGCAAGATGAACACCCGCGACCAGGTGCTGCTGCCCCCGGCCCCCACCCCCTTCGACCCCGACCACGGCGGCCGGCACCGGCACCACCCCCACCCCGGTATAACCTACCCCCCCAATTTCCACAATCTGCCCACAGCCAACCCCACGGGCCCCGGCGAGAGGGGCCCCCCCGGCGCGGTGGAGGTGATCCGGGAGTCCAGCAGCACCACGGGCATGGTGGTGGGCATCGTGGCGGCCGCCGCCCTCTGCATCCTCATCCTGCTCTACGCCATGTACAAGTACCGCAACCGGGATGAGGGCTCCTACCAGGTGGACCAGAGCCGCAACTACATCAGCAACTCGGCGGCGCAGAGCAACGGCGCCGTGGTCAAGGAGAAGCAGCCCGGCGCCGCCAAGACCGCCACCAAGAACAAGAAGAACAAGGACAAGGAGTACTACGTCTGAGAGCGGCCGGAGGGGAGAGGCAGACCGGGGGGGGGGGGGGGGGGGAGGAGAACAAGCCTTGGGCAATGCCAGCTCCCCCCTCCCCCACCACCACCACACCACCCTTCGCCCCTGACCGCATCAACGCCAAATCTCAACGGTCCCCACCCCACGCCCCCCCTCCATCCCCGACGACGCTGCCATCTTGTTTTCGCCTTGCCTGGTTCGTTCTTTTGCGCCTGGCACTTGGGGAAATGGCCGGGCGGTACCCCACCCACCTTCGACGGAGAGACACGGCCGGCCAGGAAAGGAAGGGGAAGGCCCGGGGCTGGATCGCGGCGCCCTCCAGAGGCTCGTTCTTCTTTTTCCTTTCCCCCCTGCTGTCGTGTGTGTGTGTGGCCAGTCTCCGCCGTTTCCAGTTAATTCGCGACTGAAACGCCCCCCCTCGCGAAAGCAACAAACTTAATGAACTGCTGCCGAGGCGTTTGCGACAGAATGGGAAGGGAATTATACCCCGCTCTCCGGCGAGGCGCTGAGCGGGCGGAAACGCCGCCATCTTGCGCTCGAAGGCTGCCCCCCCCGACTTCCTGTCCTTTTTCTCGGAGGCCTGAGGGGCCCTTATGAAAGAAATCAAGTGCATCTGACGGCAGTAAAAGAGAAAAAAAAAGACAGGAGGGGGCTGACAGCGTTTTGTTTAAAAAAAAAAACGAACCGTTTGAACTCAACCGTCTCTCGACAAGGAGCCGGCAATGGACTCCTGTCTGGAGAGACAGGGTCCCCCAGCCCGGCATCGCTTTTAGAAAGAGCCTGCAAAAAAAAAAAACAATATTGACAAGAATATCGGAACGAAATGGGGGGGAAAAAAAGCCTCAAATGCTAACCGTCGTCCCAGCCTGCAGCTGCTACCTTTTCCACCTCTGGGTCTCTCCCTCCCTCTCTCTCTCTCTCTCTGTCCCGCCTCTCTCTTTCGTCCGACTAAGGTGCTAATGCGACATTATTTTGCTGTGTTTCGAAGCATGTAGTATTCCTGTACAAAAGAAGAAAACAAAAAGCCGTTTCAGTGACACGAAAAAAAAAAGGTGGGGGACGAAGCTACATCGTCGTCTCCGCCCACCCCCCCCTCCTCAAGACCGGGGAGAGAAGCCGGGTGGCGTGACGGACGGCGCCAATTATTTAATAATTTAAAAAAGAATCAAAACCGCGTCAAAGACTTTGGTATAAATATATATGTAAAGACCTTTCAGACACCTGTGGACTACCTGGAAGCTTATTGTGAGAACAAAACTGGGTGCTTGGCGCTGGGAAATTACCCAGGCGAAGAGACACTTGTTCATTTCAAAGAGACATATTTCCCCCCTGACGACGACAAGACGCTAACGGGGGGACAGGCAGCCATCTTGTTTTTCCTGGCGAACGAAAAGGGAACGAAATTAAAAGCGAAGAAACGAGGATTTTTACCGGCTTAAAAGAGCGAAGGACATTCTTGCGGAAGGCTTAAAGCCTTCGATAGTCTTGACAAGGAGGGGGAAAGCAAACCTAACCGACTTTTAAGGCGACTTTTTCGTCGTTTTTCCCCATCGGTCGAGACCGGAATGAAACCGATGACGGACAAAACGCCGCCTGAATAACACTTGTGAAGAGAAAATTAAAAAAATAAAAAAGGAGACCAGGGTCCTCTTGAGATGAGACAGAACTCTAGTATTCCAATTTTTTTCTTGAGTCCATTAAAAAAAAAAACTGTTAACATGAAAAGAAAAAAAAACCTTTAAAAAGTTTGTGAAATGTCTAAATATTTGAATCTCTCATCCCCCATTGCCGAGGATAACGTGTTTTCCCTGTTAACCATTCCTGTTTCAGAATGACAAAAAAAAAATTAGTCTGAGAAACTTCAAATTTGTATGCTTTTTTTCCTACATGACCGCCGTAATTTGGGTTTAAACACATCTCAGATGCTCTCCTCTTAACAGTTAGAGGGAATTCAACCCACTAACACTTGGTTCCATTGTTAAAGCAAATCTGTGCCGATATCACACTTTGGTGTAGAAAACTGAAGCCCAGTTTCACTTTCCATATATGTTTTCTGTCAAAATCTGATCCCATTTGAAGAAGGTAGCTGGATCCTTCATTTTATTGACTTATTATTTATATTTCTGTTCATATTTTTCTTTTTTTTTTTCTTTTTTTTTTACAAACTGTACAACCATAGGCTACTCCCAGTATCTTCCTGTTCTTATTAAATGTTATTGTAAAGTGTTGCCAGTGAGATGAAATCTAAATATGTGTACATTAACAGAGGGAAAAAATACAATTGGTTATATACTTCTTAAACCTGATGCGTCATGTGCTTTGTTCTTGAGAACAGCTGTTGCACTGTCTCGGTGGGATAACCACAGGAGTCCAAGGACATCACGTCACTTTTGAAACAGGACATGGGGATTGTAAAACTGCCACTGAATACAATGTCAGGAATACATTATGCTGTTGTTAAACTGAGTATGCTCAAGCAGAGAAATAACAAAAACATTCCTTAAGTGTTAATATTAAATTTCATTAAAGGCATCCGTTACTTTGTTGTCTTCACAGTTAAAATAACACAGTAACACTTGATCACCTGATAAAGTATTACTGTACACCTGCAGCAAGAATAGAGACTGAAGGCAGGAATAGTGAAGAGCTCACCGCTCTGATCCTACCGATGGCAGGAATAGTGAACAGCACTGCTCACCTGCTCTGACTGACGGAAGGAATAGTGAACGACACCTCTCACCCACTGACCGACGGGAGAAATAGTGAACGACGCTGCTCGCCCTCTCTGACCGACAGCAGGAATAGTGAACGACACTGCTCACCCCCTTCTGACTGACGTCAGGACTAGTGAACGACACTGCTCACCCTCTCTGACCGACGGCAGGAATAGTGAACGACACACTGCTCACCCGCTCTGACCGACAGCAGGAATAGTGAACGACACTGCTCACCCTCTCTGACCGACGGCAGGACTAGTGAACGACACTGCTCACCCTCTCTGACTGAAGGCAGGAATAGTGAACGACACTGCTCTCCCGCTCTGACTGAAGGCAGGAATAGTGAAC